CCATAAGCATTTTATTTTCAACTTGACTGATAATTTGACATCTCCATTCAATATCAACGTTGCCATGGCAACACCTTATTACAGGTGTTCAAAAAGTGATGGTAAGTAGGCGATGTATGTGTGCTCTTCACGGCGTAGACACACTGACAAATACACATAATAAGAAAATATATTATTACTGATTTTGTGACGATCATTTTGTACGTTCACATTTCTTATTTTGGAAAAATATTATATTTGGATATGAAGGTGACTTTTCCTGTTATGAATTAGGGTAAATTATGCCGGCAATATATAATATAACTACGTCTTATTAAATGAAATTATTACATTTCCAGTTAGGTAACATAAAGGTTCTCTGTACCAATCGACACATATGTACATATTGTCATAAACTGGTGGAAAGAAAACGTGTTCTCTAGGTTTCCTTCTACCGCTACTTCCAGGAGTGAAAAGAGTGAAGATAAAGTTCCTATTCTACCAGATGTCAATAGAATAGTTGATTCCCTAACTTACATTGCCCAATTACACCCCTCCCCAATCCTTAATTCCACAACAATCCCCAAATACCTAATCCCCAAAAACTTTTTTAACAAGAGTAACTAATGGAATTTCTCGCTCGTTCTTCTCCATTTGAATCTACATTTTGGAATGAGCACCTAGCTTCACCTAGCTTCAGTAACGGACTGACTGGCAGACTATTATTTATTTTGTATTTATTGAGGTTTCAAAAGTACCAAATTATAGTTTAATTGAAATAAATGCTTTGACTTTAACTTCGATGACTTCGACTTTGACTTTGACCGGTAACGTACTTGCAAAGCCTCTGGTGTTTCAAATGTCCATGGGCGACGCCGATTACTTACCATCAAGTGATTCATCTGCTGGTTTACCGGCTTCTCCCATATTTTTTTTTTTATATTTGATGGGGCGACGTTTGACCACTATCTCACCTGATGGTAAGCGATGATGCGGTCTACGATGGAGCACGTCGTCCCATAAGCAACCTATTCACTCGGGCCTTGAAGGCTCCCCTTCAGGAAATACGCATAGTTGTCCAAATGTCATTACTGAACTCCGCCATACCTCCACCATTGCCTTAAGGCTGCCTCGTGTTCACAGAAACTTGATGAGAGGCACATTAAAATGTTCATTCACTTTTCCTTTAAGTTACGTTATAAGTAAGTTGTTATCTTAAACTACGTGCACATACATCGATCAAAAATCTACATAGGTACATCACTATTTCAGAGAGTAAAAAATCGGTCTACAATTGACGGAGTAATCGCTTAACGAAGATACGTCTAAACACAATCATCCTAACATACCATCCCTACTTTTAAATTCGATAAAAAATAAAAAAAAATGTCAACGTAATTGTTCAATCTAGAAATTGAGTTAAAACCACATAAAAATGCGTCATACTAGCATCTCGGTTAATAGTATGTCGATCTGAATAGCCATCTAATTGAAATAGGAGACATAGCATCACGCCACCCGATGAGAAGCCCTACAGCCGTGGGTGTGATTGAAAACTGCAGTGGTCACAGAGTGAGGGTATCGCTACTCCTAGTTAAGTAATTTAAACGCCATTATTCTTTACATTGCGTCACAGGTACTTTCGAAAATGATACAGAATGAATTATTACTTTTACCAAAACTAAATTGTTCTGAATTTTATTAGTAAGAATTGAAATTATATAGATATATACAACTGAAAATATAAATATCTAAAAACTAAAATACTATTTTACACCTTAAAAACAGGGGATTAAATTTAATTAAAAATAAATAACTGCCTCGTTGGCCGAGTGGTCGCAAGTGCGACTGCCGGGCAAGGGGTCTCGGGTTCGATTCCCGGGTCGGGCAAAGTATTACTGGGTTTTAAAAAATTCTCAGTAGTAGCACGGAGTCTGGAATTGTGCCCGGTATATGGCAATAGGCTCACCCCCTGTTACATGGGACTCATAACATAAGTAGTGAAAAGTGGGTGTTACATTGTACAGTGGCATAATGTGCACCTCTGCCTACCCCTTCGGGGATAAAAGGCGTGATGTTATGTTATGTTATGTTAAAAATAAATAATTTAACGGTTAAAATATAAAACATACTACTATGCTTTACATAATATTAAAGACCTACGCGTATGTATACTTTATATAGTTTATGTTACGCTAAGCAGTCCTTAACATCTGTGACCGGTCAACCGCAAGTCTTTAAAAAGTGTTCTCGTCATAAACAGGAAATGTAAAATGTAATACATAGAAAAACTTTATCTCTTACAGTCAGAGATACACAGGAAGGAAACTTTGAATTTTGTAGGCACTAAAATAAACACCTAAATAAATGTTTTGAAGGTCTTGATATACTATAGTTCTATATGTTAGATATGTAATTAAAAAAAAATTAAGGCATTATTTCTAAGGTTACAAAACAATTCAGTCGCTATTATTAGCGACAGGCTTATTAGATAAAATTCCACTGAGCACTTCCGTAAGCATTCATGTAAAGGGTCAAAATGTAGAAAGAGTAAGTGAGGCGAGAAACCTGGGCCTTGTAATGGATGAAGGTCTAAGGTTTGAACAGTTTACTTCTGATTGTGTAAGAAGTTGCTTCTACCGTTTGAAAATTTTATATAAAATACGACCCTACTTGTGCGAGGAGCTGCGTGAGCGGTTGGTGGAGAGTTTGGTTCTGTCAAAACTAAACTACGCAGATACTGTTATAGGCCCCAGGCTCTTGGCACGCACCGGGAGATTAATACAAAGAGTACAGAATGCCTGCGCACGATTTTGCTACAGTGTTCCACCAAGGAGTCATGTAACACCATTTTTGAACAAACATAACGCATTAAAAATGAAATCACGCCGGAAACTCCACCTCGCCTGTCTAATGTTCGACGTGATAAAACACAAGTGTCCTCCATACCTGTACTCTAGGTTTGAATGGGTTAACAGTCACCGGGAGCGTGAGGGTAGGCGGTGTGCTCAGCAGCTCGCTATTCCTCGGCATAGAACTGCAGCTTTTCGAGGCAGCTTCCGTTACGCGGCTTCCAAGTGCTGGAATAATATTCCACCACCAATTAGAAATCTGAAAAATAAAAACACGTTTAGGTTAAAATTAAAAACTTTTATTTTGACATCCCAAATTAAATTTAACGACATTAATATTGACAATTCCTTTATCTAATTTCAGTTTATTGTTCCAATTTATTCAAATTACACTTACTTTTATATGCCAACTTGGAAGTCCTTGCGTGTTGGTTGGGTGCTCAACGTGTGAGCATTGTTTTAATGTACCTCGCCATTATTTTAATTCTCGTAATTAAATTGAGTGTTTTAATTGTGATCATTTCGCCACTCGTAAACTATGCTGGAGTTTGGTGTCCTGTGGCCTGCGGCTGTTTCTTTGTGGGTACGCGTCGGAATGAATCAGAGCTCAGCAGAGTTGTCACTAAAACTGTCTTTGTTTGACAATCAAAAATGTGATATAACCCCCAATTAATTAAAAAAAAGAGTAAACGTCAAAAGAGACTAACTCTTATAATTGCTTTTTTACATTTTTATTGTATATACATGTACTATCGGTTATATATGTTATTCTATTCTCAATTTTTCACACACACACACACACACACACACACATATTCAGCTAAAATTATATTTATACAACTGCAGTTTTTTTTTTGTCTTCATTGAGGGGCGGCACCGCCGTCCGTGAGTCACTGCAGGGTGCCACCTGAAAACCAGCGTTGGGCACAAACGTCCAACTTTATGCTGAGGTGGAGGCCCTTTTGGCATTAGCACGCGCAAATTAAAATTAATATTATTATTTTGTTTATTAGATTTTTTTTTTTATTGTTTACTCAAAATTCTGTATGTATTGTATGTATTCTGTAGATGTATTTTTATTTTTTTATATTCTTTGTTTCTGTGCGTTGAATTTGCCAATAAAAATTTTTCTTTCTTTCTTCTTTCTTTCTTTCTTTCTATTATGCATCAGTAGGTACTTTTCCAGCTTGTCTTTCGACGTAGGACATAGGTATTTCTTTTTATGTATTTGATGGGCCTACGTTTGACCACTATCTCGCCTGGTGGTAAGCAATCATGCAGTCTACGATGGAGCACGTCGTCCCATAGGCAACCTATTCAATCGGGCCTTGAAGGCTCCCAGGTTATAACCCTTCAGGAGATACAGACTCTGGCAAAGAATTCCACTCCTTAGCAGTACGCACAAGGAAGCTTGATAAAAGACAGAATTAATAGATTTCAACAAGAATTGTATACAATTGATATGTGAGCGATGGTATTAACAAAAAATTAAAATTATCATTCCGTTCCATTCCAACAGAATGGTTTCAGTGTTTAATATTAATTATCATACATCATGCAGTTTCATCAAATATTGCGAACGAGTGGAACGAGGACGCGGGAGCACACTCCATATTTATTTAATAATTCAATATTTAAATCTGGCAATACTTCCAATTCGAAACTTGTTCCGATGACATTCGATTTGAGTCGAGTACGATAGCCGCAGTTCCCGGCGATACCAATTGTACTGTATTGGTTTTTGCACGAAATTTAATTAATAAAATAAATAAAAGTTGGGTATGATTGGTTGTCCAAACTCAATCCAATTAGATTTGGTCCACTAGTTCCTTGGTCTGTGCTCTGGATACAATACAATTTTAGAAATCAAACGAAATGTATAAAAGTTCCACTGACTAGAATGTGGAGTGGTCGCATTGACGATTAAAATTGAATTGGATTTGGTTATTTTGTACGTGTAAAGTTAAAGTAGTCCGCAAAATACGCATCTCCACAGGTAATAAACATAAATTAAATACAATTTTGTTATTGATCAAAGTCAGTAGTTAGCGGTTTCATTCGAATGTTAGACAAAAATTTATCCTGTGAGAATGTAGCAGAAAAGATCAGTACAGAAAATAAGATAAAGAAGCAATTACCCCTACTTAACAGCCTTTCTCCTTGTTGCAGAGCCTCCTACGTGTCAGTGCTGACGATAGTGGCGTTCTCTCTGGAGCGGTACCTGGCCATCTGTCACCCTCTCCATCTGTACGCCATGGCCGGCCTAAGGCGCGCCCTACGTATAGTGGCTGCCCTGTGGCTGGTCTCCCTGCTGGCGGCGTCTCCCTTCGCCCTCTATACCACTGTCAGCTACCATGACTATCCCCCAGGTAAGAAAACCTAAGTGTGTTGTGGTATTGTTGAATGAACACTTTACTGATAGGAATATGGCGACACATGACAGATGACAATATTGCATATACACGACCGCCGACACAAATCTACGGATGATGACACAAATCCTATATCATACATGTAAAGTTTACATGCGAATAAACACGGATAGAAAATCCCAACAAACAACTGTTGGTCAGAAAATCCGCCAGGAAGGAGCCCAGGAATGATCGCGTAGCCTAGTCAGAGGATCCTCCTGTTCTGACTTACTCCTTACTCTCTGGTCCTTAAAGTAAGATGGTAAAACGATGAATGATTTCAGATTTGTTTTGTTATAAGTTTGGTGTTCTTTTTGATATTTTCCTTCAACACGTTTGACTTTTTGCAATTAGTTGTCGCTAATCTAGTAAAGTAATAAAGTATCTTCTGGACATGGAGGAAATTCTTTTTAATTCTATAGTTCACGATCTTGCTACATTTTTTCTGTGAATGCAAAAAAGGAAAAGAGAGAAATAGACATTCAATAGTTTTTTTCGTTTTTTAGGAATGAATATTAATTGTTCCAAATACAGATTAAATGATAGCTTCATGTGCTGTCATCTATATCTGGTTTTTCTTCACACTATTCTATTTAAAGAAAAAGAAATATAATTCCCATCATGTTCGAAGTTTTCGATGAAGCATTCTTAATTGATGGGTCCCAACTGACGTCTGATCAAACAATTCAGCATTGCGGGCTAAAGTTGAAAAGTTCACTTAAATATTAACTCTGATTTCTTTCTGTCCGTCTGACAGGGGTGCCTCCTACTGATGCCCATCCATTACACTTTTCGACTTCTTACACGAAATTGTTCGCTCATCTATCACCCGAATTAGATTTTGGTCAGGTACAGAAAAGTACTATTTTTAGGTAGTTGTAGGTCAGGCCCTGTTTCGTTTTGGAAACATTCTTGTTTATTTCTTACTAGCTTCTGTCAGCAGCTTAGCCCGCATTCCCATGTAGTAATAAGTGGCCTGTGTGTTATTCTAGACCATTATCGACGACTGAAGAGAGCCCTTCTGCCGCTTTGACGTGAAGAGAACAAACAAACATACAAACTTTCGCGTTTATAACATTCCTACGATATAGCTACTATCCATCCTCTTTCTATCTTGTCAGTTTAGTGTATCAATTTCGATTTCTGAGTCGGACATTTCGAATACTTGTGGACTCGCTTCGTTTGAAACAAAAGCCGAGAATTAGGAAATAATTTGGAGCTTATAATAAACAGACATAAATAATGAAACATTAATAACTCTGTGAGAGTACTTAATGAGTTGAGACCGCGGCCGCTAGTCGTAGCGTTTTATAAAGAGAATAGGTTAAATAGTGGTTGAGGTACTTAGGTAGGAAGTAGGAGATAAGTAAGATTAAATGTGTTGTCAACTGTTCAGTGGATGGGCATTTAATTTCTTGAAAGCCTTTTTAAAGACTTTAAGAGCGCCTTCACACAAGAGTTTGTCCAGGGTAGCGGTACCCTTGCACTGAAGCCGCGCCAACGCAACGTTTAAGATTTATCGAATGCCTACGCTGAACAAACGCTAGTGTGACGGCCCTCTTAAAGACTTGAACACAGTTAGACGATAAATCTTCTCGGTATAACAGAGTCTGACTTAAACTCAAGCGGATTGGACGTTGACGTGTAAATCTTCAATAGCATAATGGTAGCCCCATTGTATAATTAGTTTACGAACCCCAACCCCCGCCCCTCTCCCCAGTCTCTCCAATCACCGAATCCCCCACGTGTCCATGGGCGGCGCCGATTGCTTACCATCAGGTGATCCGGCGGCTCGTTTACCGGCTCATTCCATAAAAAAATCCTACAAAAGGTTTTTCTTTCTCCAGGATCTGGCAACGCGTCTCTGGAGTCAGCCTTTTGTGCGATGTTGGAGATGCCGTCGTGGTACCTGTGCGAGCTGAGCAGCCTGCTGTTCTTCATCCTCCCAGGAGTCATCATCCTCTGCCTCTACGTACGCATGGGGCTCCGAATTAGGTATGTTTTGGGGTACGTATCGTTTTCGTTATCGGTTTTTTAGTTATTTTATTTAAAACCTTCTTTTAATTTTTGTACCTTTCATAAAAATGCTTTAAATTTTCTGTTTTTCCAAGTTATGAAATTTTTTCCGTAGTTAATATTTTCTTACTTTTTTTTGAACAAATAACATTTTTATAATTCACTAGGTCTAGGTAATCAAAATAATCTATTAGATTCTGTAATGGTAGTTAGAACAACCCCTTATTTATTACCTTCCAATATGCCAAACAATCTTCAAAGCCATTGCTATAGTCAGACTCTTAGACCGTCCTATTAGTTTTCTTATTATAAACCTTCTAAGGTCTAAAATTCCAAAGCATTCAAGCGTATAAACTTGTCTAATTTACGCCAAAACAAATTATATTATTTATAAAGGTACACCCAAACAGATCTTGTCAGACGTTCAGTCTAACACTTAGTACCTAGCTTAGGTAGGCTTAAAATCATAGTTCTTAATGAGAACTAAATAGAATTAAAAGTATAAAGCAACTACACTGTAAACTATTAAAGTTATTATATTTGTTAAGCTTCTTTTTATTAAATAGAAACTCCGAAATAACCTTTTCATTTTAATATTATATTAATATTGACTTTTCTATTACTTTTGAACAATTTATCAAAACCACGACCTTATTACAGCTGACCCAAAGTATAAATTCCAATAACTTAATATTGTAACGAAGTATTTTTTAACTATTATTGAATAAGTTTCGTTTAATGTTTAACTTTGTACTAATTGCAATATGAATAACTTTGAATATTCACATAACATCACGCCTTTTCTCCCCTATGGAGTAGGCAGAGGTGCACATTACGGTACTTAATGCCACTGTGCAATGTAACACTTTTCACTATTTATGTTATGAGTCTCATGTAATAGAGGGTGATCCTATTGCTATGTAGAGGTACAGGGCACAATTTCAGACTCCGTGCTACTACGGAATTTTGTTATAAACTTCGTAGCCCGACCCGAGAATAAAACTCCGAGACACTTTGCCCAGCAGTTGGACTTGCAACCACACGGCTAACGAGTCAACTTAGAATATTCATAGGTAAACGTGACTTTAAAATTATGTTAGAATATAATTTAGTGTGATTGTATAAAGGTTTGAGAACAATGTCAATTATATTCTAATACTTACGTAATAAAATCACTTTTACAAGCTTTAATTTAGCTAAATCTAAAATTTTTTATAGGCACCTACTGGTGTCGTTCATCATTTATTAGATACCGTGGCTCCGCTCTCTTATTTACCAACATTTATATTTATTACAAAATGAACATAGCTCCCACCACCCACGCCGTCAAATAACAAGCCGCTTTGCTATGTTTCGCAAAGGATTCAGAACCCAAAGATCTATTTTTAGGTTAGAAAAAATAAAACTGGGTCTATCGATAATGATACTCTCAACAGTCTAGTCTAGTCAAGATGCCATAAATACGACTACTAACCATAATTAATTAGATTTTTTTGTAATTTTTTTAGTAATATTATTATGTAGTTGTGTCGAGTATGATCACCAAATACGAGTAAGACTAGAATCACAATAAAACCGTTTCAGCTTAAAATGATAGGTAGGTACTAGCTGTTTTCACCAACCACCCCTAAACTATCTCTTAACTAAAAGTTACTAGCGTGACATAGTAATAACCCCTTACTTGTACTGTTAGGAATCACTTACACATTTATAGGTTGGTGAAAAAAGATATGTTCAGAAGTTCCTTAAAATTTAGAAGAGCTTGATGAAAAAGGGGCCTAAAACATGAATATTTTTCCAAAAGTACCTACTGTTACACGACGAAAATCAACTAAAAGAACGTCACTAGTTAAATACTAATCCGTATTATCGGCAGCACTAGCTGTCATGTTGACGATGTCATCTGTCAAATGTGACAGATTAGGAAAGTTTCCCGCGCAAAGAGTGGTTACGTTCGATTCTGGTGGGATATTTGACGAGGATCACATTGTGTTCTTATAAGAATCTGTTTAGAATAAACTTTTCAGTATTCTAGTATTGAGTTTAACTTAAAACGTATTGAGTTTAACTTAAAACTACGCAGGTAATTCCTTACCCTTTTCCCGAACCTACAAGGCAATAAGTTTCCTTCGCACATACATGCAGGGCCCTCTCTTAGACTACGCTGAGGCCCTTGAGCACACAATTCGGAGCCCCTTTTCAATGTTTCTTTTTACGTACGTAACCTCACATTAGGGTTTTCTCCTGTGTCGTGGGTGCGTTCACAAATATATACGAGTTCACATACCCAAACCACAATTTGTGAATCACACAGAGATTTGCTCCGTGCGGGAATCTAAACCTACGTTTTGCACAGCAGCCGGGTCCACGCAACGTGTAACGGATGTGTTACTATCTTAGAAATGACCTTATGGTAAAGACGAAACTGCGTACATGATGAAGAGCTTTAAGTCTTATTTATAGATAGAGGGACGTTAGATCAGACAAAGGTCAAAGTTCAAATGTATTTTGCTTGCACTTTTATTTAGCCCCGGCATAATCCGTGCAAAGCGGCCTCTAGCACGGGCCCACGCTACATGCGACCTACATGCCTATTGCTACAGAATACTGGCGTCAAAGGTATTTTTCCAAATAGGTACATTTACAAATGCGACATCTTTATATATATAATTTTGCTGTACGTGTGTATGTCATTGAACTCCTCCTAAACGGCTTGACCGATTTAAATGAATTTTTCTGTACCCGTTTGAGTGGCACCCTGGGTAGTTCAGATTCACAAGTCAGCCCGGCAGATGGTGCCGCAGTCGGTGTCTAGGTTAGTTATACTAAATGGCTAAACTAATTTGAAAGAATTTTTGTTTATATGTACATTCAAGTGGATATGCAGGACAACGTCTGTCGGGTCCGCTAGTTTAGTTATAAATTCTTTTGTTTAAACATAA